GCTGTATTTATAATGCAGGATTGCGTTTGCAAGGAAGAAAAAACATTGTCACGGCACGTGCGGAGAAGAGAAGTTTATTTTTGTCCACTTGAAATGAGGAGTATAATGCATCGAAGAGACGCCAGGCCCCGAATCTCTCAACGAGACTGTTTTATGCCCAAGAAGAAGACTCGAATATATTTCAAGAGTCGTTAATGACAATTTATTGTAGCAACTACAATAACGAATAGAACACACACGCGTCTGTGTGTGATAATCTATTTTTTTTTTAGAATGTAATAAAGACGAATCTACTGTGAAAAACAGGAAGATTGTGTGCTTTAAAACGATTGATGCGCTAATAATAATACGATTGACTATTCGCTTCTCTTTTCCCTTTTTTTTTTTCCCCCCTAATAATCTAACGATTATTGATTTCTCGTAAATATTAATAAAAAAGCACAAATAAAAGAACGAAATAAAAATTTAGAATATACGATATAAAATATGTATATATAAATGTATATTTGAAACGATAAACGCGTAATCGATACGACGACCGTGTTATTTGTACGAGCGCCGATACGCGACTGCCGAAATTCGACATTCCCCCACTCTACTAATTTCTAAGCAGTACCGTAACGAACGTTTATACGTAAATTGTAGACGTATACAATTACTCGAAATTGATCGAATAATCGAACATTACATATTTTCAGGGTCTCGAATAATAATTATTTATTAATAAATTTATTAATAATATAAATATAAATTTTATTTTATTTTAAAATTCTAATATTTATTTAAAAAAATATATATATATTTTCGAATAAAAATGTTTACGATGATAAAGAGTTGATAAGAGTGGAGCGTACTTCCTTTTCGATTCTTCGACAAACTCGATTGGGCCCTCGACAAGCTGATGTAAATTAAAGTTGGATCACGCGTGCAGGGGCGGAACCGTTGGCGGTATCGCGGTCCCCACGAGACTGGGGCGTCTCGTGGGCGTCGGTGTCGGGCAAAAAACGTCAAACTCCAGGATGCACACGGTGTACATTCTCCCCTGGGGAACTCTTATCGAACGATTTAACCGGCTCGTTTACACGTGATCCATACATATAAACGTATAAACGAAGAACAGACGATTTATTCAAAAGATTCGCGTGACTTCTACTTCGCAAGGCAATAACCTTCGACAACTTCATTCTACCGCAAATTTGTGCTATTTTCCAAGTTGCAATTGTGCTTAAAATACGCGACTCTGAGAATGCATTGACTAGGGATATTTTAGCTTCTAGATACATTTGTTAATTTTAAATGAAATAAACATAATTATTACAACGAAATGTACATACGATATGACGTTGAATATAATACAAAACAGTAAAATAAAAAGCTATATATTACTAAATAAAAAGCAGAGATGCATAAAATTTTAATTTATTAATTGCAAACGATGTAAAGAGCGGATCAACTATAATAGCTACGAATAAATATTATTCAAGCATTTTAAAATTACTTAAAGTAATTTTTAACTACTTATCTTTTCAACGCGTCCAATTTTTTAGCGTGTTAACCATAACCAAAACATTTGGTAACATTTCAATTCCCGAAAGAGTAACGCGCTATCAATGCTTAGAGAATATTCTGACCACGTGTGTGTCGCGAAAGAAAAAGACATTCGAGAGCGCAGATGGAATTGCGCGGAATAAAAGAGGTGAAGATAACGAGCAGACGGCGCCGTCTGAAATCTCGCGATCAGCATCTTTTTCTCTTATCGTCCCTTTGCGTTCCTACGATCTGCGCGCACGTTCGGTTACCGGACACCGGTCACAGACAACGTAGCCAACGTTTTTCTGCTGATCGACAGAAACGAGAAGAAAAACGAGAACGAAAGAGAAGAAAGAAAGAAAAACGATGATTGTTCGCACGAGAACAAGACCAACGAATGTTTTTATAGATATATCTCCCTCCCCTCCCCCCCCCCTTCTCCCGTAACGGAATGCGATCTTTGTCCAGTTTCGCGATAGTGAACCGTCATCTTGTGCAGGGTAGCCAACTATCTAATAAAGAGACTAGAAGGTAGCGCGAAACATAAACAAGCGGTACCAGATTGCGCCGCTTAGACAAGCAATTCTTATCGCTACGCACCGTTGCGCGCCTCGTCCTTTCCTCCACTCTCCCTTCCTTCACCTTTTTCTAACGTCATCCAATTTCGGTGTGAGCACGTGTGACTCATTAATTCCCCGAAATGTCCTAGCTCCGTGCTCGTATTTTCGTTTCGGTCGAATTTATCGTCGAGTCTCTATCATCAAGGTTACATTCCAATTATTGGAACCGTGATGAATTAAACACGTTGAAAGGATTTGAAAAAATCCTCTAAGCTACTTTTGGTAAAAAAAAAAAAAAAAAAAAAAAAAAAATGATTTAGCCATCCGTAGATTGAAATCTAATCTCGCAATAACGTTATGAATCATACAGATAGATAACATATAACGCAACGGCATCAAAAAATTTATCCTTGAAATATGTTATAACCGTGGTTCGGTTAATGGAAGAAGAAAAAGGATCGTTCGATGAACCGCTATCTTCTTCGTTGTTTAAATCATAAAAGCACTCTATTAATTGACCCATCCAAGCAATCAAACGGATCCTTTCTCTGTATCGTTCAAAGAATCACCGCCTACATATCTAGACACGGATTTTATTAAGGTTGAATAAAAATTATGTTATCTACAGGGTATAACCTCGATATGAAAAGCGCAACAATGAACCATTTCAACTCGATATTCCATCGAATATCGGGGTGTGCAACGAATTACTGATAGGGGGAAGGTACAGGAGGGTGATATGGATGCTTTGTAGGATTTCCTGTAATTAATATGCCGCGAATGATGCCATGCGTATCCACGATACCCCCAAAGCCATCGGATAGGACTATAGGATCCACCACCGCTTGTCTGTCTCTCTCTTTCTTACCCCCACCAACTTTCCCCCTCGCGCTAACCTCTCTCTCTCTCTCTACCTTTCTGTTTCTCTCCGAGTCCTTCTTCGTTCATGGGAATACACAGAAGCCATAAGAAATTCGATACGTTCCCCGTGGCGTGACACGGCTGTGTACTGGACTGGGCCTCGCCACGGTGGTGCTTCCCACTTCCTCCCTCGCGAAATTCTCGTCGAGGAGAAACGCCGTCTATCCTGGCCACGATTCGCATCGATGGATTCGCACCGAAATCAAGGGAACAAGAACTGGTTTTTTATTTTATTTTCTTTTTCCCCGTGTTATTTATGACGCACGATGATCGTCCGTTTCGACGATTCTTGAATTACGCTCACTATTAATCATCGCATTGAATCTTCTATATACGAATCGGAAGCAGATGATTTTTTGCTCTAATAGATTCATCTATTATTTTTTTCGATATTCCCATACTGATTACGCGCGTGTAAACATTGATGTATAATACTGTATCGCAATTATGAAAATGAATAACAATAGAGTTTCGAATTGGTTAAACAATATAATTTTGTTATCACAAGATTTTAATTTCCGCACGTTCAGAAGATGTAAAAAGAATAAATAAATAAATAAAAAAAAATGGATAAAATAAAGAAATAAATTTAATATGAAACTTGAATATCATAAAATTAGAGAATGCGGTATCCTACTATAATATTGTAGGATTAATCGGGAGGAATAATATTACTAGATTCGTGTTATCCATTCCAATACGAAATAGAGAATCATGATATATAAGTATTATATTGATTACATTCGGTGAATATAAAAAATGAACGTAGATTATTACACGATTTCAAAGGAGATATTATAACGGTATCTAAATTGTTCCGAGTAGTCGAGAATTTTAACTCTTTCCGCTCGAGAGCAAAATGGCAGTAACGAGGATCCGACGATTAAGCGGTTCGACAGATCGTGTTACGTCTCGAACAAGGTGTTCATTTCGGATCGAAAATTACAGAGTTCCAACATTGAGGTAAAACGGAAAAAGTTAACGTCCATATAATTAAATTCGAGGACGATTTAGAAGCAACAACGTAACAACATAACCTCTACGTTATTTCTTTCTTACTTTCGATAGATAACGATGTAACATGTCGTTCCATGTAAATTACGAAAATGTAGAGGTTAAGATCTGATAAAAAGCGAATCACACGACACAAGTGAAATACATCGCTAACGTTACGTAGTTATGAGGCCGTCTTCGAGTTTGTTCGGTCGTTTCTAAAATCGGATATAGAGCAACGACCTTCCAAACAACATGAAACTCCTACGCTTGCGCCCTCCACGAATTCCACGGATATCAACTCGGCCACCGTCATTAACTCCTCGAACAAGGCCATGCGAAAAATATGTATGAAAATGCATACGTATATCCACATCGATATGACGAAGTTATTATTGTAACAACACATGTATCATCATCGACATTTCTCACGTATTTTCTCATCTCTTTCCCACTTTAAAATAAGCAGACGCGTCTGGCATATCGCGATATATGTATATATTTGATTATTAAAAGAAGATTATGTAATGTTCCTCTTTGAAACGTTCGAAGAGAAAAACTCCTTATATTCATAAGGTAATTTACACATTCCACGTGCATAAGTGTAAATTTATCTTAATACCTATAAGTAATACTGTTGCATGAGAAACTGCTTTTAAAATTCCCGCGAAAATAACGCTACATTTAGACCGTTATTACTAATATTAGTGGCTATTATTATTATTATTAGGCCAGGCAAGATGAACAAAGGATATCGGATATTTCATCAGCAATAAAGACAATGTACTAAATGTCAACGCTCTAAATGACTTTGATCTTTCGAACAAAGATCAAAAATATAGAATGTTATCCAAATAAAAAAATATAATATGTCTGATACGATTTAAAAATATTATATAGATTATATATAATAAGCAATTCCCTTTAACGCAGTATAAATTAAGAAAAAGAAATAATTTTAAAAATATTGAGGAAATATTAAAAAAAGATAAATACCTATGTTCAGCTGCACGATCCCTTTGTCTCCGGTTCTTGAACCAGTTGCTGACTTGCGTAGTAGTGAGTCCCGTGCTTTCTGCCAATTCTCGCTTTTCACGAGGCGAAGGATAAGGATTAGTAGCGTACCAATCCCTCAGAACGCTTCTGGATTTCTCCTTGAAGCAGTAAGACGTCTCCTCGCCATCCCAAATAGTACGGGGCAGAGGAAATTTACGCCGAACGCGATATTTTCCTGTAATTTAAATATTTTTTCTTGTATACAAACATGAAATACTTAAAATTATATTTTTAACTTTAAGCGATTTTAACTTTATCAAAAAAAGGATATTTTATTTAATTTTGTATTTTATATTAAAATCCTATTATATTTCAATTACATAAACATAATTACATTTAAACTGTTGATTATTCTTGTTCACGAATAAAATTACATGTTACTATCGTTAATTAAAATCATTAATTATTAAAAAAATTTTTCAAAATAATAACGCGATTTATACGTCCAAAGACGATAAATCTTCGAATTAGGAGAGGAAATATTTTTAAAACGACGCAACACCGATGCACAAACATCGCGTGTGTTCGATTTTATTTTCGTCGTTCGATCTACAAATATCGTGCATTGTTTTGCATTCTCCTTCAGCTATCAATTGCCATCGATACTCGAGAGAGTAAAAAAATCAAATATATAAATAAAAGTTTATATCGCGAAGGTCTTTTAAAAATACTTTTCTGATGTTTCACTGTAATCATTTTATATAAATAAAATGGAAAAAATGCAAGGAAAACGAAAAGAAAAGAGGAAAGAAACTAACACTGATAAAAATTTTTGCTCTAACTTCTTAAAAGAATCATGGTTATGCGTTAACCCTTTCTTAAAAGTACGTATAGCGAAGTTCTTTTTCAAAGAGCAGCAGGAAATCTTCACACAAACTTCGCGTCACATGAATTTCTTTCTTTGCTCTCTGGTTTTAGCATAAAGACAAAGGAAGAAAGAAAGAAGGATCAAATGACACAAATTGGTTCACAAAAGTAAATGAAAAGATCTAATTAAAATGTCAGCTGGTTAAACTCGCCTTCTTCCCTGTTTACAATGCGCGACGGAAATAAAACTGGCAGGCCTCGGGCGCGAAATTGCGGCGCGATTCTTTTTCCTGCGCGAGATGTTTCCTTTCCGGCGCTATTATGATTGTCAATAAATTAAAGTCGGCGTTGTTACGCCGATTCGTATTTTTAAACTTTCACTATCACCAACACTATGTGAGATTACAGAAAAAAGGAATAAACGTGAAGAATTTGAAAAAATTTTCTCATATATTACGCAAAAAGATAGAGAATATAATACAATTACATAAAATAAATTAAATTATAACACATATTATCAATTTTTTTGGTAAATCTATTTAAGAATTTGAATTTCGTTTTATAGGTTAGATTGGAGAATTGTGAGTTATAATGACCAATGAAATTTAGAGATAGAAATTTCGTAAACAATATGGCGGTTAATATCCGCAATTAATTTATTTTGAAGATAGAAAATTATGTTTTATTTTGAAGGACAATGCATACTAAACACACTTCGTATTTCGAATTATCCAATAAAAATTTGGAATGATTTGAGGAAAATCTTATACTAACCAACTGCACCCAAAGGCCTTCCTCTCAATCTCTCGGCCTCTATGTAATGAGCCTTGAGCCAGAGAGCTTGCAGTTTCTGATGATTGTGCGGACTGAATGTATGACTCTCAAGAATCCTGTACAGTTCCTTGAAGTGGCCCCGATGGAAGGCGACAATCGCCTTAGCTTTCAGCACACTCTCGTGACGATGCAACCTAGTGCACGCCGGCAGGGACCACAGGAACCTGCCAAGCCTCTCCACAGAGCCTGCCTGTTGGAGAACCTGGACAGACGACACCATCGCCTTGAAGACGATAGACAGGGGGGGCACACTGTTAGTCGGCAGAACTCATCCCGATCTCCTCTTATTCTAGTGTATCTTGTATATTTCTCAATCGTAACTATTATTTCATCTCGTATCTATTTTATTCCGCAAAAAGGGTGTTTCTTTTTTTTTTCGATAAAATATTAATAATTTAACATATCAAGAATCAGCAGACGTAATATATTTACATTTATTTATTAAGAAAGATAACACTTCAATAAATTTATGCTAATATTCCCTTTTCACGAGTTTATTCTTCGATGCAACACGACTCGTAATATATAAGCAAAAAAAAAAGAAAAAAAAAACCGAATTTTTATTACGCGTAAGCATTAAATTGAGAAAAACTGAGAAAAATTAAGAAAAAATATAAATATCGAGGAAAAATTATTATGCTATTACATATAATGAAATCAATGCTTGATTGCTTATTACAAGCAACTTATCGAAAACGATCATCCATTAAATGAGACGATGGTACGAGTCTTGTGCACCTGCCTCGATTATTTCTTCATTCGCGTCGCCGGGTGCCACTAGTTTCTACACTTCTGACGAACGATTAATCACAATGTGTGCAAGAAATCCGGTCATATAATGAGAAACGAGTCGCGATGAAAGCCTAAGAGAAATGGCCGACACAGAGATCGCGATCGGACTTTAACGACGGTATACGGAAGTTTTCGATTGGTCGACGACAAATCAAACCGACATACCGAGGCGTGCTAGCTAAACCGTTAAACGATTTCAGTCTGTCTCGTTCCATCCACCATTCTGCCGCGAACTCGAGAATCGATTTGTCTTCGCGCGAGAACTTGAAGCACGCAACAGACGGTAGCACAAGAAACTACCGGCACCACCCGGCTAACGGCAAAATATCGATAGATCGTTCTTTCTCGAACGAGTTGATTCGCCGATTACTTCGTATGATACAAGACAACTAGCGCCCACGTCTCACGGCATTTTCACGAATTACTGGTAACCATAGTGACGATAAAATACCATCTGGCGGATGTCACGCATAATTACTATTATTATTTCCAGTACGCTTTTTTAACGATTAATTTAAATTTTAAATTCAAAATTACAAATTTTAAATTGATTGATCGTTTAATCACGGTAAATGTTTCACGCACGGAATGCTTTTAATCAAAACGATAAGCTTAAATTATATTGAAAGACGCGATCGTTAATATTTAACTTTTTTTTAAATTTCTTTTTATTATGGCGCGGGCGTAATTAATCAATTAAACAATTCTATTCTTAACAAACAATTCGGTCGTTTATCGAAAACACAAAACGCTATCGTAAATTAGAATATCCATGTGACGTGGGCAAGGAGTTAAACGTCTAGCCGTATATGTAAGGCAAATGGGAAAAGTGTGCAAATGTTAACGTTCCTCGCACATTTCTAATGTACTATTGATTTTTGTATATGTCTATAATTTTATACATTTTTTTTAATGTACAGAGAAACAATTGTTTTAACACATTTATTATTATACAATTGTATTTATATGATACGTCAATAACGAATCATTTTTTTTATTTTCTTTTCTTGATTTTTAATCTTCGTCCATTATACAAATTATTATACAAAATCAGAATCTCGAACTATTGCTTCGAATAAAACATTCGAGATGTGTAACTAATGAATTCCATCATGTACACGTGGGCTATTCGATGTGAGAAGAGCGTAAACGTCGCACACAAAACAATTTATGGTTGGTAAAATCGTATGAACTCCATTAGATGTGACATGCAAGTGAATCTTGGCGCGCGGTGTTGTACAATATTGTATTCGCGGAAAAATAGAAAATTTCAGGGAGAGTTTCATCACCGCAAAGTGCATAAATAATAGCCAAGAAGTTAAATAATATATCGCGAATAATTTTATTATAAGAATTTGGTCCTTAAACGATAATTTATGGATGTTGATCCGCGTAATTGAAAATCTGCATATAAATTTTTTAATTTCTATGATCTTAACATTTTACTCCTGACCAAAAGTTCCGATTACGTATGTCTTATTAGTTCTTACATAAATGAAATAAATTAATAAGAAAATAAAAAAAAATAAATTTATTAAAAATAATAATACGAAGGAGATAATATTTTTATATTATTTATTAATTAAATGAAAAATAAAATATAAATCATTTATATATCATATATCATTTATAATGTCTCGATTGCAAAAAATATAGTGACTTTTTATGATGCACGATGTTACTGTCACAATCGACTGACATGAAATTTATACATAATGGATATTATTTAAATTATATTACTCGCAAATCAATATTTTAATATTGTCCAAATAAATAGGAATAAAGTAAATTATAAGAAAATTGTATCTAGCATCTTTCCGTCGGACACTCGTCGCCCAACACCGCGCGACCGGAATTGATTTTATCGATCAACAACGCGTTAAAACAAGCTCAAATTTCAAATTTCCACTCGAATAATATTTTTTAAAGCTTACCTCACAAACACAGGCGACTTGTTCCTGCGTAAATCCGAAGCTGGGAAGCTGTCCATTACTACCGCTACCGCCGCCGGCAGAGCTCGCAGGACTGTCTTGGGGGCTATAACTCGCTGGTCCCGTTCCAGGACCGTAGGTAGTTGCTTCAACGGGTCCGGCAGTATGTCCCGTGAGTGGTGTCGGTGTCCCTTGTGGACTATAATCACCGGTCGAGCCCAAAACATCTGTACCACCAGAAGAAGGTCCCATTGCACCTCCGTTTCCGGTGGTTCCTCCGTAGGCCATCATCGCATCATCTCCGGGGCCCACGGCGACCCCTTGTACACCGTTCCCTCCACCCTCCACCGTGGACCACTTTTCTTCCGTGCACTTCGTTTCACTCACTATTTTCTTATTCTTTTTTCGTTTTCCTTACCACGCGATAGAATTATATTTTTTATTAACCACTTGTAAAAAATCCGCGGCCCACTGGTCGTTTAGCCGACGGATGAAGCTTGATTCTTTTGAGAATCGTTCCGACGGCGGATATTCAGCTGCGTACGAGCCACCGGCGGTAATGAATTTATCAACGATCTTCATACCTTTCGATAGTCATCCACGATGCTCTTTCACATATAATTTTCTGCGAGGCATCTTTCTCTTGGTGCGTTTTCACCGTAGTCGAATCAATGAACGAACACGTTGTTCGCTAGTGTCCAGATATATAGTTGGAAAAACTATATTGTTATAGAGATTTTCTCTTTCGATCAGACAAAATTGACGCGTAGTCAATGAAATAAAGTGGTCGTGTACTTTTGAGCACAGAGAGAAAGCAGAGAGTTGAAGAGTTTATAACAGCAACACAAAGGAAGAACGCGCCACACTTGTGACGGTATAAACGCGTCAGAATATGCAGGAAGGGGATATTTTTAGTCTACTGCTGGTAGACTTGCTGCAAGCTCGGCTGCCGACGAATTCCAACGAGACGTTTCTCGTGTTACGAGAGTAAAAGAAAGGATACACTCCGTGGAATAATAAAATCTCACACTCCAGCTGCAGGTTATTCTCTAATCTGCTTTCAGAGGCTGATATGTAACCAGCAGCCAGTGGGTCGATTCACTGTCTCTCTCTTTCTCTTTCTCTGGCACGTTTATCTTTTTCTATAGTTTCCTCATCTCGCGTGTGTTGCGCGATTATCTTGCGTTACTGCCTCCGACTAGATCCGATTATGGCAAGTTTCTCTTAGAGCGCCAGGTGCGCCCTCCTTCAAGATTATCCTCCCTCTTTTCCCTTCGACTTCGCGTCTTTTCTATCTCTTCGTGGCAGGTTGCACCGTGAAATCCACGGGCTCGTGTTTCCGCGGGCCGTGGTAGGTGTGTATTTATAGGCGCTTAGTATACTCGCGTACGAACGCGCACTGGCTATTATTAGGAGCGTGTTAAATAGTCCGTTTCTGTCCTCCTCTATCTTTTTCGATTCTTCTTTTTATCAAATCTCGAATGAAACAATTTTTCAAACTATTGTCGTCGAATCTTTGAGAACAGATTATCGAAAAGCACGCGACACAATCGATACACTTACAAAAACGATTCGAAAAACGCACTGTTTATATCGCACTCCTAACACTACCGGCGAAAGAAAACACGCGATGCGATGAACATAACCAATAAATATCAACGATCACGCGCGACGACACGATGATCAAAGTATATCAAAACTCGTAACATCGAAGACAATTCAAAGAATGATAACGAAACGTCAGATTTACACACTCCCTCTCTCTTTCTCTCTCTCTCTCTTGTGACCGGTCGAAAAAGAGACGTTCTCCTACGCACGCACCAGAAGGGACTGCCGCTCCGGCGTGTTCCGAGACCGAGCCACTCTGTCATGCGCAGCTAAGCGCCGATTGGCTGGGGCGTGGTCGGACTGACAGCTAGTCGATGTGTTTTCTCATTGGCTGTTGGGCATGGCTACGACCACCATCTCGTCTCATCATTGGTCGAGCTTCGTTTGGTAATAAATAAATCTCATTACACCCCCGACTTGTATTCCTTTCTTTCTTTAATATGAATATAGTTAAAGAGACAGGCAAGTAAATCGGACGAATCCATCCCAGAACGAGCATATTTCAGTTACTTTCACATAACTCGTTAAATTCTACGATTGGCCAACTATTTAATTATCTTCTATGAATACGTATCTCACTCGATGTAAAAACCTAGTAATTTATTGGTGTATCGTTATCAGCATTTAGTGAATTTTACGCGTGATGTTATTATAACTATAATTTGGAAACAATATTTAAACACTTACCTTTTATTCATAAATATTTCAAATTATCATATCGAGTTATAAATGGTTAAAAAAGAAAATATCGATCTAACATCGTTAAATTCGATAAATGAATATTCGTACGTGAAGGAATCTAACCTATTTTTACATATGTTTTTATTTTCGTTATTTTTGTATTGATATAATATAGTATAATATGTCGATTTAAAAATAATAGATATATTTATGAAATCTAAATATAATACTTTCTGCTCTTCTCTCAGGATATTTTCACAAATGAGTGTCATCGATTTTTCAGTGACTGAATTGAACTTGTTCGAGAAAGCAGTTGACGTTAATAACTGTTTTCCATTTACATTAAACAGAAATTGAAATGAAATATTTTACAATCGAGTTTTTCTTTCAATAAATTTCATGGAAATAAAGCCTTACTGTGTATATTCACAAAGAAAATGAAAAACATTGACCGATTTGTTTGATGCAATACCGCGATTTACATAACCTCACAAATTTTCACCGAAATATTTTTACGTTTTTATTGTCACGTTCATATCGTTAATGAAATAAATGATTCTCTCTCGAAATAATATTGACATTAATATAATATCAGATTAATGCTGACGACAAAATATACAAAATACAGAATATTTGCTATAAGTGAATGAAAAAATTAAATATTTTAATTGAGAATAAATGTTTCACTTTAATGAATAAAATGTTTAAAATATTCTTTTTATTACGAAATATACTTTATATATATATATATTTTTAAGACTTTTAAATATAAACGTTTTAAAAACTTGACCAATCTTCGTTTTTGAGAAAGATCGTATGGTATGGATCGTATGGTGGTGGACAAAAAGACATCTTGTTTTCTCAGACTACAAGGACTTTTGTAAAAACAAGACTTCGTTCCCTAAAATAATGCATGCCGACCAAATTTCTTGGTATATCCTGGCTCAAAAGCCTTGTTCGAACGAAACGAACACGCCGTTTGTTTTGCACACGCCGTTTTCCGTCTTTTCTGATTGACATGGGACGTTTTTCAAAGCTTGTTATCGTGGCAAATCCTTCTGTTCTTCTTTCACTGCTTCTATGGACCACTTTTGATGGTTATTAAAAAAAAAAAAAAAAAAAAAATTAGGAGTATTTTTCAAATTTCAATAGAGAAAGTTTACAGGAATGATTTTCTTAATATATGATGAAAGTTTTATTTTTTCACAGTGATTGTAATTTCACAGTTATTTCTTTCCATTATTTGATGACCAATCACTATAAAATTTTACACATAGAATAATTTATTTTTTTGTTTTATGCTTCAATATTATGGAATAAAATTTAATTTTTTTCCTCAAGAAATAAATAATCTTAACGGATAAAATTACTAATGTCTTTCATCTCTTTCTCTCTTTATGACTTGCTTCATTAGAGTTGATATATTTTGAGTAATTCGATAGCCAACAATTTGTTATCTTTCAGATTGTCCTGGAATTTTTTAACACGAAGTCTGTCAGATAAGATAATAGCACATTATATAAATAAGTAAGAGCAAGAATTGCCTGATAGTGGAGATTCTCATCTGGATTCGAATGATCCTGCAGAAATTGACACATTTACAGTGGTTGTATGCGGTTCTCTCCGACGGGGTGCCACCCGTGGCGTCACCATTCATCCTGGACATACGATCGAAGCGGTTTGTGGTCCAGGAAGAAGTCGTTGACATCATAATGTGACGTCTAGATGCTTACGGTTCTCCTCGCCCCGTGAAATCAACCGTTCGATCTTCTCGATGACAACTTGTTCAAAAATATCCGCGGCCGTGTTAAGAATAATTTCTGTGTCACGTGCCGCTTATCTTTCATTTCATCCTAAAATATTTAAGAAAATTAATCTTCGAATCCTTATACTTTGCTATAACCTATTTCAATCTATTTATTTATCCTTTGATAAATATTTTTTAACGTATCATTTCGATTCTATAGAAAATCATATTAATTATACATACCCGATTCATCATAGATAACACGGCTATGAGATAATATTTCAAACATCTTGAACTTGACTTGTCCATATCGATTTCATCAAATTCCACCACTCTACGAACTTATAATCACAATTAACGTACTTATAATCCAATGATTAAGTAAACGAGACAAACGATTATTATCATAATTGAGTTAAAATCGAACCGTCTAAAGATCCAAACGTAATTATTCCTCATCGAGAAGGAAGGGGAAGTGTCAGTCTCTAGCGTCATAAAAACACAAATTTTTGATGTCTCGTGGGACGAGGCGGAAGCCGACACAAAACGTTTTCGCATTGACATCGATTCTCTTTGTAGAGAGAAGGCGAAGAGGCAAGGTACGGGAAAAAGAAGAAGACAGAAGAGAGAGAAAAAAAAAGAGGAGGGAAGTGTAGAACGTGAAGGAAGGACGACGCGGTTGCGTAACAATGCGAAAACGCAAGAGAGCATCCAACGAAAAGCTCGTATCACGTTCCCATAAGTGGCAGGGCGCGAGAATCCCCGCAGAGACGTCCTCACGCTTTTCTCTCTTTCTCTCTTTCCTTCTCTTATTGACCTATCCTTTTCTCTCTCTCTCTCTCTCTCTCTCTCTCTCTCTCTCTCATTTTTCCTCTCTTTTTCTCTTTCACCCTCGACAGCACACCGTCGCTTCTCCCTCTTTCTCTCCATCCTTTTCTTCCTCCTCTTGTATTTCTCTCCTCTCCTCTCCTCTCTTTCTCTCTCTCTCTTTTTACTTTCTTTTTCTTCGTTCACCTCTCTCCTTTTCTCTCTTTCAACGCAACGTCCACCATGTGTGCACAACGTAAAAAAGGGGGGCACAACGCGAAGAGGCGCCAGGTATATACGTACGTACGAAAAATTCCATGGTGACGGCACCCTGGGTATCCCGTGGCGAGATCTGAATAACCCATAATTGCTAACCCTCCATTCACGTGCACGCCTCTGCCGTGGTTGCTCGTTTTCCTCGAACAAAGACGTCTCGTAACTGGCCGCGACACACGAATTCATTCGAAGTTTGCCGCTTTCGACCCCCAGAGATCGTTCGTTCGAGCGTCGACTATCTTCGACTGGGTAACTATGCGCATTGTAATAAGTACTTACGCATTTCTCGATCTTTTACTCGATGATGGTAGACTAGAAAGCCGAGTGGTTCAGTTCGTGGGACAATTAGAAGGTACGTTTGAGAGTTGAGAACAGAAATTTTATTCAAATGCACGGGTTATTTTTTTGGTGTTGGAAAAAATTTTTGTAAACATCCATCGCGATTTATCTACAGTACAATATATATAAATATTTAATAACGCTCCTTAGGTAAAATGTCTCACGTAATATTTGAAACGATATAGAAAAATTGGAGATCTTGTCGATTTTATCTTTTTGCTTTGGAATAAATAAATTAAATAAGACTGTTTCTAATCTATAAATTCGTTTGAAAGGTAAAGGCAATTTTACATAGTTGGCAACATAGCTTGAAATATTATATTGGAACGTTAATATTTTAACTAAGGAGAATATAAATATTTTTTAAAAAATATTTAAGATATATATACATGTTTGAAATATATATTTAATTTTAAAAAACGAAATAGGAAGACAATTTTCGTAATTGATTGACAGCGAAGTGGAATTTTATAAATGGTTCTAATAAAGAATGAAAAAATATAATTCATTATGTTCTTCATTTCGTTATATTCGATATAAAAACAGTTGATCTATACTCTATATAATCAATTCTTAATTTACATATATTTTATCATTTTTTTTTTTTTTTTAAATAAACTACTCCCGGGACTACACGAAAAAGCGTAGAACTTTAAAAATAAATTATATACCATTCACTTTCTTTGTTATTGACAGTATATTTTAATTATTGACAGCCGTTGAACCACGAAAAGAACCACGTATTGCTAACATTATCATCATCATCTGCTTCTGGCATATCGTCAACATTTTCTTTTAAAACAGGTACATCCGGGTAGTTCAAGTCTTCGTGGAAAATCCAGAATTTCTTTTCCGGTACCAAATCATTCCAAGCGACATCATTGTTCTCATAGGGTTCCTCGTTGGAAAATTTCCTCAATCGATCGTTCAGTAATTTGGAATCTTGCAAACTGCTTATAAGATTCAAGGGAAATTTTAAGTTTGAAAATTTCATGTCTCTCTTCTTCAATTGCTCTTTACACGGACTGATAACACGTTCTAAACCGGATACCACTTTTTTCTCATCCTTCTTCTTTTTCGGCATTATATCTTTCTTGCACTCCTCGATCTCTCTTCGTTCTCTGTCCACCCTTTCTTTCGCAGATTCTTTTGCTTTTTCGCTTTCTGGGATTATCGTTTTTTTCCTATCTATAGCCATAAATGAACAGGAAATTTCTCCAAATTTAATTTATATTAAATAAAATATTTGCAACAAAAACAAAATTTATCTTATTCTTAAAAAACGAAAAATTGCTAATACTTTTCTTAAATCGATCGAATACTTAAAAACAATAAAAAAAAAAAATTGAAAAATCTAATTATCTCTTAATCATAAAATTTTGCAAACAGACGTTTGCAAAAAAAATAAATACGATGAGCATTTTTATGTATCCGTACGCCGAAAAATTCAAGAATCAACAGAGAAGTTGAGAATAATTTATGGAAAAATTGGTCACCTTTGCACATTTGTTCCCTCTTTTTGCCGCATATGTTCAAAGTGTTCGCCGTATTCTTAGTGCCATACTGACCCTCCTTGATCATGGTTATACTACTGCAACTCAATTTCCCTGAAGTCTTTTTACAAGGATTATTATTTGTGTCGTAATTTGACCTTACCTTTTTAGAAGAATCATCCCTCTTCTTAGATCCTCGTGACCTCACCGTCTTGCAAGGATCGTCCACCACCTTCGTAGGTCTTTTGCAAGAATTTTCTTCGTTATCGTCGCAGAGGACAGGTTTCACCCTCTGGCACGCATCGGTATCCTTCCTAGACTCCCTCTTACAAGTCTGCCTCTTGCAAGCATTGTTATTATTGTCGCAGGAACCCTTCACTTTTTTGCAATTATCCTCCCCTCTCTTATCGCCCTGCACTTTACACTTGTTCGTCTGCCTTTTGCACCTGTTCTGTTTACACCTTGTCCTGTCGTCGTTCCTCTTGCATTTCGAGAAATTGCATTTCGAGGGCGAGATCAATATCTTTTGGCTCACTTCTCTGCTCTCCTTCGCTCCAAGCAGGGGGATGGCAAAGGCTGGCAACGAGGAAAATCGTTTCACGCTTTTCATAGCTTTCGGCCGTCTGATGTAAGCGGAATTAGTGAAATTCCTTTTCCCAAATTTCGCCGAATTTCTGCTCCCACTGTCGTCCCTTGTCGACCGTCTGTTCACGTCTCTGTTCGTGTCTCTGTTCACGTCTTTGCTTCTCGGTTTCGTGCAGAACTCGGTACCTCTGTTTGTGCTGTCCGAATTTGTCGTTGTCGAACTCCTTTCGTTTCGACTCCTCCTTCCAGGATAGGAATTGTCGCGTCTGCTTCGATTCGGATTCCTAAATATATATATATATATATGTTTTCGCCAATAGTTATTCGACACGATCCATTCGTTTGTCATGTATGTAAAATTTAAAAATTGAATGTACAGATGAAAAAGATTCACGAAAAAAAATACGCAAAGTATTTTAAAGTATTTTATATACAGTATCAAAGATACTATATAATACTATTTTTTTGTTTAATTATTATCCAATTTAATTATTTTTTTTTTTTATAATAAAATAAAACTTGCAATAGTTCGTTTCATTCAATTTCCGAGAAAAAAAAAATTCATTGGAGATTCGTGAACTCGAAACGATCGATTTTATCTAGGTATTGGTACGTTTCGAGTTTACAAAAAAAAAAAAAAAAAAGAGAGAAAAATGAAAAAAGAATGGGAAAAAACATTTAAAAAATACAAAAAATATCAAATAAAATGGAAAAAAGGTAACGAAAAATAATAATAATAATAATAAAAGAACGTTTAGAGTTTAAAGTACTAGAAAAACATAAAAATGCAAAAATTCTTTTTACACAGATGGATAATAATAAAGCAAGAATTATGCAACTCTCCCTGTTACCTGTTATTGTCTCTGTTACACTTCTTTTGCGACCTCGGATCGGTGCAAAACTCTCGTATCTCGGCCTCGTCTTCTTGCGGCAAACAGGTTGGATCGTAATGGACCATTTTGGTAGCGTTGACGATGTGTTTCGTGTTCGGGCATTGAAACTTGGTGTAATCGCAATCTGTCGGTGTTTGTAGCGCCGGACAACAGTAACGCTTGCACTCCTTCTTGTTGCACTTCTTGTCTTTCCGGTTCTTCAAATTCTGGTTCTCCTTATTCTTGCTCCGTAAATTCATAGTTGAAGTGGATATATTGGACGAAGGATTCCTCGTGTTCATGATCGCGCGCAGCCCGTTCTCCGATTCCCTGGCGAACGGCAATTTTTTGGTCAAACAGTTGGAACTGTTGGAAGCCGATCTCCTATTCGTGAACGGGGGATAGGAGGCCGGTGGTTTCCGCGATCCCCTCCCAGAGTTTCCAGCCATGGAGGAGCCTTTACCACCGCCCATCTCCGACCCCTGAGAATTCTTGGCCGAGTTGGCCCGCAACAATTTAGCCTGTGTCGCGGCACAAGGCGAGGTTGGAACACGAGGCTCGTTCTCGTAAGGGCTGGTTATGTTCATAATTGGTTTCTCCATGGATTGGAAGGCAGCCCTGCTGCTGTTCGACTTTCGTGGCGCGAAATACGTGGTTTCTCGATCGCTTTGTTTATTCTCGGGAGTAGATTTGAAAAATTTTAATTTCAATTCTTCGCTTGGTGATTCCATGTTTTCCGTTCCCTTTGTCGGTTCAACTTGAGGATTTGTTGATGCAAGTTCAGAATCGTTCATATCACTCTCCACCTCTCTCATTTCCATCTGTTCGCTTCTCGACGGCTCGCCCACCTCCCCTTCGTTCGCCGTTTCCGTCGCCGTTTCCATCTCCCCGGATTTAACGCCTCTCGACGCGTGTTGAGAAACGTTTCTATCGCTTTCGAAATACGCCTGCGATCTGTTCTCCTGTAAATTCTCCTCCATTTCGTCCGCTCTCAGCATTTCCAACGCGTATTTCGAACTGATTATATCGTCCTCCGGAGCTTGCGTTTCCTCCTTCACTTGCGATTCCACCATCACTTCCTGCTCCGCCACTTTTTCCGTCGATTCCGCCGCTTCTTTCGCTCGTTGTTGTTGCTGTTGTTGCTGTTCCTGTTGCTGTTTTAATTTTAATTGCAGTTGTTCCTGTTCCTGTTTTAATTTTAATCGCAGTTGTTCCTGTTCCTGTTGCTGCTGTTGTAGTTGTTGCTGTAGTCGCAATTGTTCTTGTTGTTGTTGTTGTTGTTGCTGCTGCTGCTGTTGTTGTTGTTGCTGCTGTTGCTGCTGCTGCTGCTGCTGCTGCTGCTGTTGTTGTTGTATTAGTTGTAGTTCATGTTGTTGCTGCACCGTGGGTTCGGGCACCTTTGCAAATTGAAACGTGCTACTATCGTTTACATCCACCTTTTTCACCTCGGGGATCGAATTCAACTTTTGCTCTTCCTTAGAGGGCGTTTGACTCGAGGCGATCGGCGTTATCGATGGGTCGGGAACCTGCGACACCTTTCTCCCCTCCGCTTCACCCACCAAATTTTTCTCGCTGTTCTCCTGCTTCTTCATTATCGGCGGCATAGGTTTCGGGATATTCTTAGGCGGTTTAGAGGAAAACTGTACGGACGGTTGCGTCTGATACTTCATCTGGCTTGTGGAAAAATCGGTTTTCAAGATCGGCAGGTATTTAATATCCTCCTTTTTAGGGGTGTTAGGGTTGCCGACCAACAATTTCGTCGTGGTGGATATCTTCTGATTAGAGGCGGTCACCGCGCTATCCATATCCGTCCCCTTTTTATCGATCTTCGATCCCTCGATGATGGAATTATCTTTGCCGATCAATTTATTCCTGCAAAATATTTCCTCCACGTTCTCTATAGATTTCGTGGTCAAGCATATCGTATCACTTTTCGCGTCGCTATTCTTCGCCTTCGGCCGAGATCTGTCCGCGTAATTGTTCGAGTTCATCTGCTCTTGCTGCTCGTCCTTGGTGAGAATATCGAAATCGTAAGACTTTCCACCTGGCACGAATGCGAAGTCGCCGGCTTGCTCGTTCCGAAGGGTTTTATAACCCTTCAATTTCCATTTGAGCGTTTTCGGAACAGGATTCCCGTCCAACAGGGACACCAAACTGTCCTGTTTCAAAACGTTCTGCAGCTTCAGACAGCTTATCGGAGTCTTCGATTTCAAATCGAACTGGGAATTGTACCGCTTCAAATTGGAAGGCGGCACCGTTGAAATATTGTGGATCAAATTAGGCGACCCTGATTTCGATACTTCATCGACTTCGTTCGTTGAGATTAACGAGGTTGAAACGATGTCCTTGGACGAGGGACATTTCTTCGCATCCTGACAGTTTTCTTCCTTCGAAGAGAACTCGAAGAAACTCCAGAATCGTCGGGATGACGCTGTTGTGTGAAGTTGCGTCGATGATCGCTGATTTAAATTTAAATCGTTTCGTTAAAATCTTTCTTTCTTTCTTTCTTTCAACTGGAGAAACGAAACAGTTTTTTTTTTTTTTTTTTTTGCCTATCGATCATTCAAATCGGATCGAATACGTTTTATCTTTTTTGTCGAATCTAAACTAAAAATTTGGAGAAAGGATAGAAATTTCGCGGGCAAAGAGAGATGCGTTTATTATTTGGTTATTGTAACGAACAATGAAAGGTAATTGCGAGATACGAGAAGGGGTGAAGAGGTTAATGGAATTTATGCGATTATTGTTACGTACGATTAGACGATAAAAATCTTGTGTTTATCAAGTGTAGTTAATTATTTGATAAAGGATTAAATAGGATGGAACTAGGATTATATACAATTTTGATGCAATTTTTAATGCAACGTAGAATCGACGATGCATCGATCGAACGACGGGGAATAAAAATATTATACGGTTAAAGTAAGACTTATCGACGAATTATCGATAATAATACGCACCTGAAAACTTTTAGAAGGAAAAACATGAGGAAGATCTTGCAAAACTAATGCCCTAATTCCTTTCATTGTGATTCGAACTTTAACGTTTTATTATGCAATTTGAATAGGTTCGTCATAAACACTTAAAATTTTGAAACTGTGATTATAATTCAAATGGAATATGTCATTCCCGACTCTTCAGTGACGCGACATTTTGAACGATTACTGAACGTGCATTTAATTAACAATGGTGGATCGGGCGATCCTCGGTTACCGAAACATATGAGAATCGACTCTCGATTTTACGTGATCGAGATACGAGTGCATTGATCACTCGACCATCATCGAAAATCCATTTTAACCATTTATTGACACGCGACAAAGAAATATTAACGGCCAACTTAACGATAAATAAATAAATAAATCGAAAACGATGTCCTTTGTTTTTCGAGGCGTAGTTCACACGTGTGAGGAAAAATTTGTCGTTCGTATCATGGCGAGATAATTTCGTTTCTGGCAAAAAGATTCTTTTTTTTATGAATTCTTTTTCCTTTTCCTTTATGATGTAATTCCTTTTCTTGTAATGTAAAATTATGTAAAAAGAACAAGATTCGAAAAGACTATTACCAAATTTCGAAGAGGTTGGACATGAACGAAATCAGAGTGTTCACTAAACAATCTTTTGTGCCTATTTTAAGGAATTCCTCGCTGGTATCGTAATTTTTCACGTAATTATATCTTTATCTATATCTAAATAAACGAAATATTATATATTTATGCGCGGAGAATTCAAACGAATCTCTCTTCTCTCAATCTAAATTAAGATTTTAAATCTCGTTGTTTAAAAATGTTTAATCGACCATCAACTTCTTAACGACGTTTTTCCACTCCAATCGTGTTTCATCTTCGTCGATTATTTCGTGTGTCGAATTAATTATCGAATTTTATATTATTTTTATTACTTCGTTCATTTCGTTCATTCGTTTAAACATTTCGTTCCTTTGCAAAGACACGACAAATAATCAGTCGAGGATTCTTGATAATCGGCATTGATGTTTTCGAATACGTAATATGGATGGGATAAATTCATTTTCAAAACAATACATATATATTTTTTTTTCGTATAACGTAACAAAATTTAATCGATCGAATAAAAACAACAATTGAAAAATTATATACGAATATTAACAACGATTCATATTTTAACGTAACAAAATTTACTCGATATAATAAAAAAATAAAACGTCGTCGTTAATAAATATCTCATCCCATTTAATATCTTTCAATTTTTTAACTCTTTTATAAATCTTAAAATAACGATTGAACATTTCGCGGTAATCCTTTCCAACTGTAAATTTTTTTTTTTAAATTTATCGCGAAAATAACACGCGATTTCAATCCAAGATTTAAAAGAAAAATCTCTAAATGATCGTCCCCCAAAAAAAAAAAAAAAAAAAAAATACACGTTCAATAATAAATTTTTCTTCGTTCTTCACGATCGTTCAATTATAGAAGGATAAATCGAACGACAAAAGGCTATGGGTACCGTTTCGATCGATCTTCGATCAGTGGACACAAATGACAGACGAGTCCAGTTGGGTGGAAGTTCTCCTGCCGCGGGATCCTCAAACGAGGATCCAGAACCGGATGAACCGAGCTCCCTCTACAACGAAGACTGTCTTCGGGGTGCGCTGCAACCGTCCCCGCCCGAAGATCAAAAGGGAAATGGTGGAAGATTTCCGGCGGAGGATCCTCAATCTTACGGTCAAATATTGAAATTCTCTTATCCAAAGGGGAAACGAAATAATAATAATAATAATAATGGGAAGAAGCCTTTCAAACGTAGAGTGACATTCGCTTTGTGAAAAATTTACGTTGAATATCTTTGTTGAATGAAAATGAGATAATAAATTTCATTTTAATTCGGATTAACAAAAATATCTTTATTCTTTCATATGTTCATATGTTTCCTAGCAAAGGTTTAAAAATTGGATGGAGTGGAAGGAGAATAAACAAAGTCGAAGAGACCTCGATAAATAAATATCGATTTCCCGTATCGATTCTTCCTAAGTGATTATAACGTTTGAGGGGAGAGGAAGGGGAGAAACGCAATATTCGTACATTCAATATATCCAACCAACGTAAAAAATTATTTATTTCGAATAAAAATAAAAAATAAAATAGAAACGAATCGCAAGCATCGTCGATTGATTATATGGAATCCGGTTTCCATAAAAAAAAAAAAAAAAAAAAAAAAA